CACGACGCTTGCAAGAGCCTCGCTTGCTTTTAGTTGCCGATCTCCGTCTCGCGTCTCTTTGTCGGTTTCTCATTCTTCACATTTCTCGTCAAAGCTTTCAAGATCAGTGCATTAGTTATCGTGAGCGAAAGATACTTCAAAAATTGTCTTTTTAAAGAAGAAAATTATTTATATAATTTTTAAACTCTGTTTTCTTTCATCTCTCTCTTCCTCTCGTATATCAAGGGTACGACGTACGAGAGGTGCAAGATGCTCTCTTGGCAAAATTTATCCGTTTATGCAATGGATCGAAACCGACGCACCATAAGCAAGCAGCTCATCAGTAACGGTATTCAACGTGTGTTATATGAAACAAGAACATTATAATATGATATTTAATTATCCCTTTTTTTAGTTCGAGGTATCGTACGGCCTGGCGAGCTAACTGCGATTTTAGGAGGCAGGTAAATTATTTACAATCATCAACGTATTAGGATCAACTGACGTATCGTTCCTTGAAATTGAAATTTTTCTTCTTGCCCTCGTAACGTAGCGGTGCTGGGAAGAGCTCGCTGATGACGGCGCTGGCATGTCGCACAGGATGTAAGTAGAACTCTCTCAATCTCCGACTATCTTTGAAGGAAGAACAATTTGAAAAACTCGTCTCTTGCTTGCGAATTGACAGCCGACGTCGTCGTGCACGGCGATGTTCGCGTTGACGGTGCATCGGCTACCTCGTCATACATGAGACGTCACAGTGGCTTCATGTATCAGGAAGACATGTTTATCGAGACGATGACAGTGCTCGAGCATATCTGGTTTATGGTAAGTTTAATTTTTTCTTTTTCCTTTCAAGCGTCTCACACTTTCAACATTTATCTTTCTGTCAGGCTAGAATGAAACTAGACGGAAGAATGCACGTGTCTAGCATTCGACTGAAGATCGATCGTTTGCTGAGGGACGTGGGTCTAACGGAGAGACGCGATATTCGCATCGGCGGCAGTGACGACGGCAAAGTCCTCTCGGGTGGGGAAAAGAAGAGATTAGCCTTTGCTACTGAAGTAAGTATTACATTTCTACGCATATTTATTTCCATCTAATCAAATTTCTAATTTGGTACAAAATCTTTCCTGATAGCTGTTGACGGATCCTGAAGTACTGTTCTTAGACGAACCGACGACGGGACAGGATGCGCATTCGGCGGGCGTCATCGTCTCGCACATGATGTCTTTTGCGTCGAGAAATCGCACGATCTTGTGTACTATACATCAACCGAGTTCCGTCATCTTTGACAGCTTTCATCGTATAATCCTTCTAGCCGGCGGTAGAGTGGCATTCGCTGGTACCGCTACGCAAGCGATACAATTTTTTTCCAAGTATGTATTCTTTTCAACTGAAGTGAAAGTGATCACTGATTAAAGCAGCGACAAAAATAAAAAATACTCATATCTTGTTCTTCTGTCATAAGTTTCACTGATTATAAGAGAGAAAGAGAGAGAGATTTCACTGAAAAATCAGCTAGCACCACCAACTGTGATTCTTCTCAATCAGATTTTACTGTTTAAAAATATAAAATATAAAAAAATATACGTAAAATATTACGTTTATGTATTTTTTTATCTTTTTATCTCATTTAATTTGCTTCTTATGATTGTAACTATTTTTCCTTCTTAATCGTTATAAGAGGATGCTGTTCTAGAAAATATTAACATAAAATATTGTTATTGCCATCCGTAGCCAAGGCTTCGAGTGTCCACGCAATTATAACCCGGCCGATTTCCTGGTAGCGACTCTAGCAATCGCTTCCGGCGACGCGGACGGTAGCGGAAGAATTGAGCAGAAAATTTGCGATGCGTATCTCACGAGCGGAGTGTGCAACGAGATCGACGTTACGCTGCAACGGGAGATCGATACCATTCGATTGCGACCCGTAAGCAAATTTATTACGAAAATAATTAATAGATGTTAAGAAAAAAGGGAAATAATTGAAAAGATTTTTTATTATACTTTATCTCTTTGTTTCAGACCAAGAGAGATATTTGCGAATCACGCTCCTTGTAAGTACCTTTTTTGGCAAAAGATACATTGAAAGTAAATCGGATCGCGAATATATTGAAAATATTGAAGAAAACCTGGCGACTTAATTGCGTTATACGATTTAATGTAGCAAGGAATCGCGCTGCTGGCTTCAGCTTTACTGGCTAATTCATCGCGGATTTCTGCAAGTTCTGCGGGATCCTTCAGTACAATTTATTAGGATACTGCAAAAAATCGTAAGGAATTGCAAAAATATTCTAGACGTTGTTCTTCTTCTTTTTTTAATTGTTATATATAAGTAATGTCTTAAGAAAAAGAATATTTGTAAAAATACAACATATATCAGATATATATATATATATATAATATTCCTAAATATTTTTTTAACATTTTTATTTTAAAATTCTAATTTTTATAATTGTTAATATTGTGTGTATCTAATTCTTTTTTCTCTCTTAAAACACTTGTAAAATATATTTTTAAAATGTCCGGTGATTTTAAGACACTTTGTATATAATTAATAAAAAATATATATACCTATATATACTTAAAATCCGTTATATAAAATCTTAATCTGGGATACGTTTAAAATTTTGATATGGGTAAAATAAATTACCAAGTTACATTTTTAATTTCAGAGCGTCGCGACGGTTGCCGGCCTGTGCTTCATCGGCGCCATCGACTTCGATCAATTGGGCATACAAGCCGTGGAAGGTGTCATATATCTCTTGGTGTGCGAAAACACGTTCTCTCCCATGTATGCGATCTTGGCGTTGATCCCGCAGGAGTTCCCGCTTCTGGTTCGCGAATACAAGGCGGGCATGTATCCCGTTCATCTTTATTATGTGGCGCGAATGATATCATTGGTAAGATTCCTCCGTCATTTCCTCCGAAAATCATGCGCATTGAACATTTCGAAATTTTCAGATACCGGGTCTGTTAGTGGAACCGATGCTGTTCGCCACGATAATATACTGGCTCGCGGGACTGCGTCCCACGATGGACGCTTTCGGCTCGACTATTCTGGTGGTTATATTCACGATGAATATATCTATCGCTTGCGGTAAGCAAGGAGTATCGCTGACCATCCTAATGATCTAGATTTATTCATGGAATTCTTGCGTTTCTTAGGATGCTTCTTCTCGGCCGTCTACGAAAGCGTGCCACTGGCAATGGCCTATCTGGTACCCTTCGATTACATTCTCATGATAACCATGGGCCCTTTTATCAGACTTAGGTATTTATTGTCGTTACAAGTAAATTTTAATACATTTCTGTTAATTTTCAAAGCTATTATTAAAAAGAAGAGGAACAAAAAAACTCTTCTTTTTTTAAACGAGAAAAATTTATTAATTATATTGTGCGTGGCAACAATTTTACCACGATTTTAATTATAATTTTATTTTCTATTATTTTGACAAATTTTTATGCACAGCCCTAATACAAGTAGACTCTTTCTTTTTATATATTCCGCCATTTTATATCATAGAATCTTTCTATGTTTCTTTTATTGACTTCTTTATTCGATAATTGACAGCTCATTACCCGTGTACATGCGATGGGTAAGATATTTCTCCTGGTTGCTGCACTCGACGGAAGCTCTCACCATTGTCCAATGGAAAGGCGTGCACAATATATGTAAGTTACACTGGGCATCAACATATACATATTTTTTTACGAGATGTACAACGATTTCTTTGCTGTAAACAGCCTGCGAAACAGTCGAGCTACCCTGCCTCACCGAAGGAACCGAGGTACTGGACCGCTACGATTTCGACGAGCGCAACTTTTGGCCCGACATCATAATCATGGCTGTCATTTACGTCGTCTTCCATCTATTGGCCTATGTCTTTTTGTGGAAACGATGTAAATCGAAATAAATGGATCGCGAGCGAGCATTAGAGAAAAGGTGACTGAAAAACGACGTACAACTTTATTACTGACTTCTGACTTTTCCCCGTGATCACTCAAGATTGGAAAGTGTGTCCTAATCAGGATTTTTGTCGCGTAATTTTTCGATTAAAAATTATAAGCAAAAATTTACGAAAAATTACATCGAAATTTGTAACGGACATTAATTTATAACATTTGTAAAAGAATCATACACACACATACACACACATACTATCGAGGAAATAAAAGAAGAACGAGCAATGTGTCTATTAAAAAATAATAAAAATGATAAATAATTTATTCTTTCCCCCGCGAATACCGATCATCCCACGCACGATTGGAGAGTTATGAAAGTGAAGTAATAAAAGAAATATCGGCCGATCATCCCCCACACGCCATACACGTCGCCTCGCCATTTTGTCGGCGAGTGATACCGTGCGCAATGGACCATACTGCGATATGACTATTTTATTGCGCGTTCTCAATCCAAATCATATTTAAATTGTCGAAAAGTCGAACGATAAAACATCGGATGAAAAAAATATATTTGATTTTAAGTATTATTAAAGAAATATTGTTTGCGAAGATCGCGACAAAATGATAATTTATTATTTAGAATTTCTGTCACTAATTTCTTACTTGATTAAATAAATAAATTACGCACGATATATGCGCTTCGAGACCTATCACATATAAAAATACTTTGTACGCATGTAAAATGAAATAAATTTTTTTAAATTAATTTTCTTAATAATTTTTTTCCTAATTTTTAAATATATAACGTATACTATCAGCTGTCAGATTTTCGCAAAATGTCTTAAAATGTCAAAAAATCGCGATATTTTGTGCAATATTTGTTTTTTTAGCGTATAAAATGTTAAAAGTTTTTTTTTCTATCTTGTGGAATTCCATTCGAAATTTTAATTAAAAGACCGGAAATGCGAAAATAATACTTTTCTCAGGACATTTAGATATGTATTTATACGACATTAATTTAAAAAACGATTAAAACTTCCTTTTCTCTATTATTGTCTTTTCCACTTTCATTTTATTTAAAAATATTAATATAAAAAATATAACTACAATATCTCTCCTTAGTCTGACTCTTCCCCTTCGACCTGTCTGGCATAGGTGATCCTACCGGTAACTATTATAGTATTTTCGAGTGAAGCAAAAGTTTAATCGCTTTGAGAGCGATTAAATCCAATTTACCATGAATATATGTTTGACAAAAAATAGATTTAGAGAGAATCTGATTAATATAAATAATATAAAATACATTCCCCGTTTTTAACGCTCTTTTGTCTTTAAAGTATAAGATTCTTTGCCTTGATTAATCAATCAAACGATTACTCAAAGTATTCCATTGATTAATCTATATAATAATTCAAGTACCCTTAATAACCCAGAACAAAGTATATGACGTCATTAATCGGTCTCAAAACGATCAAACTTGCTTCACTCGAAAACATATACGTTACCGCCGGCATAGCTCTCAGGTTTATTAGTATCAATATTTTAAATATTTTATAATCCTCTTTTTTTTTTAATCACACGTAATTATAAATTATTTTATACATATTTACATACAAATATTAAAATTTTTGTAAAGATTTTATTAAATCTTTTTATCATATAATTTTTTGGTAATTATATTTTATATTATAAAATATTTTATAAAATATTGAACTCTTTTTTTCTTTCTCTCTCTCTCTCTCTCTCTCTCTCACTTTCTTTACCTCTGTCAGAGCCTTCCGCTCGGGTAAACACCCACCGGAAACTATCTGGTGGAAAAATAAGCAACGAACGGGTTATAAAAATATTAATTAATACATAAAAAAATATTTTGTTATATATATATATACGACTATATCATTATCGACACTATATCATTATCAAAAAGTTTGCGGCTATTTGCTTCGCAGTTTTGCCAGCAGATTGCGAGACCGATCCGTCCGAGTGAAACCAATGGTCGGGCATTCTCCATCTGGTGGAAAGTTTATGGCGAGAGCGCGGCGGTCTCTCGATTTCTCTCTCACTCTCTCAGAAGCTCAGAGCGAGTCTGGCCTGGCCATGTTACTGACACGGCACCGTCGCTCACCGTCATCGCGCGAGGCAGTTCGGTCATTGTAGTTCCGCGTCCGCGGCGACGACGACGACGACGTTCATCCCAACTCGGACTCGCGAGACTCGATACATACGTAGTGCGATCCTCATTCCGGACCCCAGTAACCGCGTCATGTGCGTGTCCCTAGTGTCGCGGAATTGAGACCCCCTCCGTGTGTCAGAAGGAAGGCCAGAGGGAAAGGAAGATCGCGAGGAGAGGCTCGAAGAGACTCGACGAGACTCGCGCTTATAATGCATCCCGGAACGGCGGCCGCAGCTCGCCGCCGATGCGATCGTGGGCTACGGAAGAAGCGCGAGGCCGGGTCGAGTCCCCGATGCAACAACGACGTCGCCGTCGGACGTGGATGAGAAGAGGCGTCTCGCGTCTTCGTGTGCCAGCGGAGGCGCTGCGAACGGCCGCGAATAGCTCGTGATATTTTCTCTACGAGGTACGTATGTGTATTATAGATAGACCGATACCGGAGCAGAAACGACTCAGAAACATTTCCCGCCGATCTCTCTTTCCGCGTTTTCCCTCTTCTCCGATTGTTATCTCGACGCGCGTGAATCCCATTTTCTTGTCTTTTTTTTTTTCTTTCTTTTCTTTTTCTTTTACACCCGACCTCCGCGTTCGCATACGCATACGCGATACAGATGTGGGGCACGTATACCCATGTGCGATTTCCCTGCGATTCCGAAGAATCCTTTCGCCGTGTATTTTTTGGCAAATGCTTCAAATGGGCTCTGTTTGTTGATTAATTTTATTTGCACACAGTCGCATAATTATTAGAATATTGGGGAAAGAGAATCTTGATCATTTTATAAAGTCTCATTTTTACTTCAAATATTTCACGTCTCACGCATATAAAATGTATACATGTATGCGGCATATTGTCTATTTCACATATCGTGAAACAGATATAATTTTCAATCTTCGCTCGCGGGAATGCAAACAATGTAAAGCGCATCTCTAGCCGTCGAATTTTCGGAAGAACGCACGCGCGCGTTGAAAGCTGTTTATCGGAAACGGATCACGATGACGGATATCGCTCCGAAATAATAAACGTAGTGGCTGATACGTGCATGTGTGTACACATACGTAGATACCTGCGTCGAGGGTACGTGATGCATGGCTCGTTGTTTTACAAGCTCAATTTCACGAAACAACAAAAGTTACATCTTCGTGTGAAAAAAACGATAAAAAGACATAAAGAGCATCAACTATTTGTACGTTTCAGCTACTATTAAAATTCTATCATATCATGTTGCATATCGTCGTAATATTGTACATCCTAGTTATTAATAATTTTTTAGATAGGAATCTAGTCATTAAATGAAGTGACAGAGTGTGCATTTTGCTTAACTTTACCATCTGAATATCTTTGTTGCTTTTGAGGGTGCGAAAAAATGGTATAAAAAAATTCGAGGGGATAGGAATTGTCAAACTTTTAAACTCACTTTTTTTTATAGAATCACATTATATAATTCTTTTACATTAAATCCATTTTCCTCTGAAATTCTGGAAATATGTGATGATAAAAATTTAATAACTTGCGAGATAAATCAGGTTTCCTATCTTTTCCTTTTTTTTTTTTTTTCCGACGTATACATATTTGAACATAAAATATGAAATATCTCGTAAAGAGTATATTCGCTTTGATCAAATTAAATAAAATTCAGATAGCATCTTCATTTTCATATCCGTTTCGTTCAACGGCAGTTTCCAGTCTGATCGTAGCGTCCTCGCATCGATCGAAATTATCAGTCGATGGGTGTGTCGCGTATATACGTGTGTGTGTGTATTTTTCCACATTCAAAATTTAAGATAAACTCGCGACATACGTCGACGCGATTAAATATCTCCCCGATGACGTTTTTATCAAAATAGCAATGGTGTATGAAAGTATATATCGCGAAAATAAAAATAAGAAAAAAATCTGAAAAAAATTTATAATAACAAAACGCTCTCGCTTTTTTTTGCGTTATTATAAATTTTTTCTCGCCCTCCAACCGTATGTAACCGTAGCATAAATGGCTTCGTAGCTGGATATGCGTGTCTACACGCGACCATTGCATTGCTCCATTGCGGTTTCCATGTTTTTTTTTTTTTTTTTTTTTTTTTTTTTCCGTTCCCGTAAGAAACGCAACTACCCGTCGAGGAGAAAAGTCGACCACAGTTTTACGGCAATTACTAGTCGAGTTATTTGTGCAGCCGTATATTTTTAATAATCGATATAAAAAGAAATATATACAGACTCTCAATTTTAGCAGAAGGGCACCGACGTATAGTCGAATTTCCGTATTCTAAACTCCACGAGCTAAGCTCTATTCTTGGCACTTCTCCTCGGCTATCAATCTCTCATTCCGCTGACAAATGCGCAAAATGAAAATATCATTACGCTAGTTGCACTATTGATAGATAAAGTTGTGAATAATGCATGCTTATCGTCTGGTCCTTCATTGGCTTTCTCACTCTACGTACGGCGATGTGGTAAATGTGAAGGGTAAGGGAGCGGCGCAAGGAAAAGATACGGAGGTTGATATAAAAGTGCTAAGAATAGGGATGTTAAGAGTACAGAGGGTTCGACTATATCTTCACTTCTCAGCGATTTAATGCACTTTATCAGACCTGATATTACTTGGATCGATTTAGTTAACTTACTCGCCTGAAGCTCGCACGTTCTCACGCATCGCTCCTTTACATATTAAATCGACTTGTGTTTGTCTAAAGTTTCTATCTCCCGTGATTTTCTCGGACGAATTGTATAATCTAAATAGCGTAACAAAAAAATTTTTTTTTTTTTCTGTTACGCGGTTGCATTATTAAATCTGTTTCACTTTTCATTTTTATTACTCTCTCTCTTCTCTTTCAGAGCGCGGTTAAGATTATCATCTTTATTACTTTTCTCACACAGTACAATTACGTTCTGCTATTGTGCACGCTTGTAAGTTATTAAATCCGTTCCATTCCTATTTTCATCTTTATTACTTCTCTCTCACGCGCGGTACGGTTGAAGAAAATTAGATTAGGATGCTCCCATAAACACGGCATCTTGTGGTCTGCTGATATCGATGTAGTTTAACACATTTTGCTTTGAAGTGTCAGTTCAACTTATATGTGAGTAAATAGTTCGCGTTTAAATTTTTATAGATACTTTGCACGAAAATATCTCGCATTAAATAGTTCAGTTTTATAATAGAAGAATAGAGGGAGACAGATAATGTTCGTAACAATGTCTATTTTTATAAATGAAGAAGAAAAAAATTTAATCTTTTTATATTTTAAACTTGTATCAATATGTGATTTCTAATATTTCTCTCATATTTTCCCGTATGATTTTTAGCGTATGTCTCAGTTTTGAAAAACAATTTTTCAGATTTCAATATCCATGTCCTTTTAAAAAGATCGTTTGTTAGAAGAAAACAAAACCGTAATACAACAATCTAATGTATTGTAATACAATCTCTAGTAAACATATCTCTCTT